AGTCGCGACTCTATAAAAGGGAGCGCTATTACTAATGAGGAGTAGGGCGTGAGCATATCCGAAAAAAAAAACACCAACATTGGGTAATTTACTATAACCAAAGCAAAACAAAACTGTGACAAAATGAAAAATAAAATACACATGAACAATATTATAATAGGTACACTTATAAAGAGTGTATTAGTACCACACATGAACTTATCAATATTAAATTATGAACAAGTTTATTATATATTAATGACTTCCTTGGGTCTGTTGTGTTGCAGAGTAAAGTTTATCAAAATAGGGTGTAATATTTGAAATAGACGCTCTCAGTCTTTTTCTATATTTAACTGCGATCTACATTGGATTTTCAAAGCAGCCACCGTGGAAAATCCTCTTACGTACAGGTAAGATGTTGAAGGAGGTAATAGTATACAGAAAGCTCTGGTTTTTTAGTCACAAAACTCAGTATTCACCTCTGCCCAAAATTCAAAGAGGGATTTATTATTAAACTGTTGATTGATTCTATAGTTATTTCTGTCGGTCAATTCATTATTGTCAGTGTCCTGTTTTACGTTTTGAATCTTGACAAGGCAAAGTTTGATTGAAATCGACTAGTTTCAAATTTAATATAACTTATTGATCTTTAACCCAAGAAATACTAATATTATATTATCTTTATTTTATAGCTTTATCTAGGATAAAAGAAGTTAAAAACATTTCACAAATAAAACTAACATTAACGTATGTAAACTTTTGAATGTCAAGTTTAGTCTTACCTTTAACCTGTCTTTTATTTTATCTCTCATACCTCGCATTTTTAACAGCTGACAACCATAATTTTCCCCCATTCTTTCTCAGGCAAACTTATATTCACTATATTAAGATAATAAGATAATACAAATTAGCTTTAATTTTATATAAAAAAACATGCGTTTATGTCATGAGCAATGTATTTTATTTTAAAAATAAAAATGTTTGTCAAAAATTAGTTACTATTAATGGAATTAATAATATTTGACTGGAAACCTATTATCAGTGTGTTGACTCTAATTTTAAATGTATGAAAAAATGTGATTTTAATTCATTTGTCTTAGGTTATAATCTTTACGCATTTATTCATACACCTTGTAATCAGATGGTAAACTTAAAGCTACAATAAAAGTATAATTACATATATTTTTAAATAAAACAATTCTCTTAAATAAATAATTAAATTTTTATTTCACAAAACAATGCTACCTACAAACAGGTGTAAAATAATTACTTTATTAGATGTATTTACAATAAATTACCCTTTTTCTTTCTAAAATGATAATGAATACCATGTTAGCATTATCCATGTTAGCAAGATTTTTACAACATACAAAAATATAGTATCACTATAAATTAAATATAGAGTGTATGTAAAAAGTAACGCATACGCAAAAACATAAAAACAGTAATTATTTTATTGAGCATCTAATTTTTTTATTTTGTATTTGATGAAGTTATGAAGTCATCAACTTATACAATCATCGACGTAAATTAGATGCCCAACAAGAAAATTACAATTGAGATTGTTTATTTTGTGATAAAAGATACAATTGGAACAAAAGTTTTAAGAATAATACATATAAGAGGTGTTAAAATATAACAGGTGTCTAAATAAAAAAAAAACTTGGCTAAAAAATGACGAATTAGAGTGAATGAGACCAATTTAACACATGTAACCTTTACAATGAAACGAGGTGAATGCCCTCCAGCTCCAGTCACACTCAATGGCAAGCAATAAAGGTGAAAGACACAAAATACATAGGTATCCATCTTGATAAACGACTAACCTGGCAGAAGCACATCTTTACCAAAAAAAAAAAACAACTGGGCATAAAATTTAGTTCATACATAGTGGTTCACCGATCGAAACTCTAAATTACCATTGGATAACAAACTGCTTATATAAAAGGCTATCCTCAAGCCCATATGAATATATGGTAGTCAGCTATGGGGCACCACTAGAAATTCTAATCTTGCAATCCTTCAACGCTTCCAGAATAGTGTTAAGATCTATAGTAAATGCTTCATAGGCATGTTACATCCTCCTCTATAGAAAAAGATCTGAAGGTACCCTCAGTAAAAGAAGTTGTGACAAGTTACAGTGTTAAATATGGTGTACAGATTCAAGTGCATCCCAATGTACTCGTTTTAAACGAAATGATCTACCACATATTGAATGTTTAACCCATTAGTGCCCAGATTATTTTTAAATTATGCTAAAATTTCTTTGGGGGCAATTTTATTAAAAGACATAAAAATAAATGAATATACGCATTCTGATTTATAAATCACTCAGTATGTGATGTTACATTTATGTAACGCTAGGAGCTAATGAGTGCAAAAAATACAAAATATATCTGTAACCAGTTCTATTTCTGTAATTTTTATGTGATTGTAATTTGAATTGGAGTTAATAAAAAAATATAAGAGGTGTTATATCGGAAACATCAAAACATATCGTGAAAATATAAATAACATTGGTTATGCTGACGATACAGTCATTATAGCTGAAGGTGAGACAGACCTGCCGACGTTACTAAAGACAATTTGTGATACTCGGGAACAGTTTATTAAAAGTCATTAGAAGGATCCAGACAAAAAATGAAGATATTAAGCAAGTGGACAAAATGAAATGGCAAGAGTCTGGATTACGGAAGATCTGAATCCGAAATCAGAAATTCGCTTAAGAATAGAGCAATCACGAGCAGCCTTATTAAAGATGAGGAAATTTCTGAGTAACCAAAGACTCAATCTGCAAATCCGATATCGGATGGTAAAATGTTATATCCACTCTATTCTTCTTTATGGTATCGAAGCCTGGACTGTTAATGTTGACGTAATGAAAAAACTGGAAGCTTTTGAGATGTGGCTTTTTAGGAGAATTTTGAAGATACCATGGACCGATCATATTACGAACGAAATGGTGTTGCACAGAAGGGGAAGCGACTGAGAACTTTTGCTCACCATTAAAAGGCGAAAGACAGCATATTTGGGGCACATACTTAGAAATGATAAGTACGAGTTTTTGCAGCTGATTATGAAGGGTAAAATCGAAGGAAAAAGGGGTCATATATCGTGGCTGAAAAACACTCGCAACTGGGCCAGGTTAAACACACAGATGCTCTTAAGAAAAGCAGAAAATAGAGTTAAATTTGCAATAGATATAGCCAACCTTCAATAGTGGAGACGGCACTAGAAGAAGAAGAATATCGGAAACCTATTATGGAGAAAATATATAAAAGCATATAAAAAGGCATATAAAAAGCATTGTTTAGATTAAAGAAAGGATATTTTCCTATGTTTCCTCGATTACGAGAGAGCATGCCAAGGATATAAGAGTTATCGCGAATCTGTATAGAAACTAGACAACAACAGCACGTCCTCAAAATTTCAACAAAATAAAAGATTTCTCAATATCAAAGGGGGTAGGATAAAAGCATTCTCAAAAACAGTGGCAAAATCTAATAAGGGTATTAAAGTAAACAGCATGTTGATTAACAACATTACGTATGCCGAAATAGCCGACACGGCGATACTGGCAGATGATATCAAAGATATTTAATGTCTTTGAAATAATCTAACTCTTGGAAGAGTAGTTTTGGGATTAGGAGCCAAATAGTTAAAGGCTAATAGGCTGGAATCGATTCAAAGACAAAGAAAATATGACAAAAGAAATCAAAAAGAACATAAAATAGAGGAAAAATTCAAGAAAGATTTGTAAGAAACGGAGAAGCCTGTTTATATCTAAAGCAAGACACAGCTAGACACGTAAAAAACTATCAATAATTATAAAGCCAAAAGAAGTATGTACAAGATATTATAATTGCATTTCGAACCTATTTATTAATTAAATAATTATATACTTACAGTATTGTGCGAATTAATGGAATCATAGGTTGTTTTAATGAAAAAACAGTTTATTTAGTAAAAAATTATATTTTGACAAAACTATAAAGGTAAACTTACATCATTCAGTAGGAAATATGTCCCCCTTTGGCAGCAATTACTGCTTTTACCCGTTTTGGCATAGATTCTATGAGTTTCTGGCAGTTGTCAGATATCCTTTCATCTCGATACCAACGACCTGAATGGCCGCTTCTATCATTTTTGTTTTAGTGGTACAGTCGATTTTTTCGCAGTCTAGCTTTGCAAATGGCCCATAAATTTTCAATGGGGTTGAGGTCGAGAGAATTACCGGGCCAATCTAAAACATTATTTTCTTATTTTTGAAAAATGCCATCATTTCCTTTGATTTGTGACAGGGAGCAGAGTCCTGTTGAAGAATCGCTCCTCCTTGGGGTTGACATTTTTGGAGTTGTTTGTCCAAATACTTTTCCAACATGGATTTGTATTTTTGGCTGTTCATCATGCCTTCAATTGGCACCAAAGATCCAACCCCCATGTATGAAAAACATTCCCAAAACATTTTCTTGACTGGATGTTTTACGGTTTGATCAATATGAGATGGTGTAAGCTTTTCATTGTCAGACTTCCTGACGAATTTCGACCGCTATCCCTGAACTATAAAGTGGGTTTCATCTGTAAATAGGACTTTTTTTCAGTCGCCTACAGTCCAATTAGAGTATTTTTTGGCCCACAGTAGCCTTTGTTTCTTCATTGGTTCAGTTAGAAGCTGTTTTTTCTGTGGACGAATTGCCCTTCCACCATTCTCCAAAAGTCTTCTACGAACAGTTGAGTCATGAATCACTATAGCTGATGCTGCTAGATCTTGTTGTAGGTCTTGGCTTGATTTTCTTGGGTCCAATTTGCTCTTTTGAAGTAAAAATCTATCATCTGCTGGTGTTGTTTTTCTCTTTCTTCCACATTTTCCTAACCTTTTTACATCCACTGATCCGGTTTCTCGTTTACGCTTCAAAATTTTGCTTACTACTTCCTGACTCACTTCACACGTTCTAGCAATCTCTCTTTGTGACATACTAGTGTGTTCACTCAACGTGACAATCTTTTCACGTTTCCTAGGCGTAATATCCATGTTGGAATAAAACCAAAAACAACACAAAATAGTACAAAAACCCCCAAAACAACACAAGCTTGGTAAGAAATGACCTAAAACACACTCAAACACACCAACACACAGTAGTGTTGCCAACTGTGAATATTGAAAAGATGAAAAAAAATTCACAGTGATTCCATTAATTCGCACAATACTGTATTATTGACACTTCTTGTTTGTTTAATTCATGCCAAATTTCGTTAGATATCAAAATATGATATGAATTTCAAAGCAAACTTGTTCTCAAAACTTATGTTCCATATTGTTAAATAGCAGAAACAAGCGACAATAACGTATGGTAACCTTCTTATCTAGTAGTACAACAGTGGTTTCTATCAAACCAGCACAAATCAACAATATCACATTTTTCAACACTGTAAAATCTTCGTTTACGTAATACTATTACGTTGGTACAATGTACACTCCATTTGACTCTTGTTTGAGCTTATATACACTTTCTGGGAATTCTAGGTTATACTTCTTCTTAGGAGTGCACAACTCGAAACATATGATTATCCTGAAATAATAATAAATCTATTTATAAAATCATAATTAAAAATTTAGTTGTTAGGTTTTCATACTAGGCAATTTAAGTAGCGACATTTATATCGACATGCTGTAAAACACCATCGAACCTTTAATTGTGCATGCATTAGAAAATCAAAGGGACGATCAAGGCAACATAGCTCTAGACGAAGATTTTCTTCACTTTCAACAAGATGGAGCACTTCCTCACTATGCAGCTCCAGTTAGGCACTGTTTGGATACTAATTATCCGCACAAATGGATTGGAAGGAGAGGTCCTATTGAGTGGCCACCGAGGTCACCAGACTTACCGCCACTTGATTTTTTTCTAGGGGGTTACCTCAAGTCAGTTGTTTATGAAACTCAACCTGCGTCACTTAGTAGGGAATTGCGAGAAAGAATTACGCTAGTACTAAAACAACTTTTGCCAAAGTTCGTGCAGAAATTAAAAATAGGCTGTATTATTGTTTACAAAACAATGAAACCCACTTAGAGCATTTACTTAATTATTGACATTTTTAACAAATTTGTAGTTCAACAAAAACTTCATAAAATTTTCCGTTTAATCCAAAGTTTCACAATTATTGCTTCACCCTGTATAATTATTACTTATACCATTGGATAAAATTTTTTATAGTCTTTTCAATGATGTATCACAAGTAGGGGTTTGCAATTTGAACTTTTTTGGTTGCAGTGGGTGGGGCCTAGGGGGTTGATGGGGGTGGGTTTTCTTTCAAGTCATTTTACTTCACCCTTATTATTCTATTATATCTATATATGAATATTTTTAATATTATTGCATTTTTTAATGTACTTACCCCACTAAGAAAATTGCAAATAGGTACAGTATTGCAGAAAAATAGTTAAATGCACCGGAATGGATGATAATTGTGGCATTGTAGAGGGTGGTATACATATATGCTGCCGAGAGCCCTGCAACACCTCCCAAACCAACAATTAGAGCAAAAATTTTGCCCATTTCATCTGAAGGTACGATCTGCGCTATTCGACTCCTTAGTAAAGGCATGGCAGCTCCCGCGAAAATTGATACAACAGCTCCTAAAAAGTAATTAGAATTAAGTATTAAAACGAATGAGAATTATTAAAAAAAATCACACAAATTCAAAATTAAAAAAGGAACAAGTCTAAATGAAAAGACTTTTTACTATTTTCTGTAACTTCTTTACTTTTGCTGATTTCTTTCTTATTTTTTCCTTAAGTTATTTCTTCTTTTTACTTAGAGACGAGTAAAAGTATTTCTTCCATATGTTCCGTTTAATTTTTTGTTATTCCATTTTTTTGTTCCTTTTTTTTGTTAGTTTTTTTCGCTCGACTGGTTGACGTATTAATATTCATTCTTGATTTTCCTATTTCTTCTGTTTACGTCTCTATCCAAATATATTTTTTAATGGCTTCTCTCCACGTATTTACTGTATTCACCAGGGTTTTCTGAGAGTCAGAATAGATTAAATAATTAATTATTTTAAAAACTATCGAAAACTTCTACCAAAACAACAAAATGGAAGTCAGAATAGATAAAGAACTTACATAACCTATAAAAATAGGCAGAGGAATAAGCCTAGGGCAGAGGAATTAAATCATTAAAACGCTAACAAAGGAACAGGATACAGAATAGGAAACAAAAAAACAAAAATACTCTGTTACGAAGACGACGCAATAATGATAGCCCAAAATGAAGCTAGTATGCAAAGACTGGTCCACAGATTTAACATAAGAGCAAAAGAATTTACATGATGACAATCTCATCTCAGAAAACTTAAAAAATAGTAGTCAGCAAAGAACCAACCAGATATAAAATAGAAATTGATGGCATCCGTTTTGAACAAGTAATGGAAAAAATACCTTGGAATTACACTGTCCGGCTATGGAGACCTGGACAAAGAAGTAAGACTTTAAACAAAAAGCAAATGGGCTGGCAGGATGCTTAATAACATATGGCGAAACAGACATATATTAATACTGAGATGAAGTCAAGAAAGAATAAAGCCAGTGTAAGACCAATAATGACATATGCCTCAGATACAAGACCTGATACAGCCACAACACAAAAACTACTATAAAAGGCAGAGATGAGAGTACTAAGAAGAATTACAGGAAATACGAGGTATCGAAGGAGAAGTGAAGATCTTAGAAGAAAATGGTACAGTTTATAAATAAATGGACACAAAATAAAAAAAAAGAATGAAATAAAAAGAAGTATCGGGCGATAGCGCAAAAGATGGGTGACAACATTCCATAGAGGTATTAATCCGCCACTAAACTAGAAGAATTGCTTATAAAGAGAAAGAAGAAAAAGAAGAAGGTTAGGTTAGGTAGTTGACTCTTTCTCTCTTGTCATTTATTACTACTTTTCCTCTTACAACTCGACGGTCACTACCTACTGACACCTTTTTAATCACACTCGTATCTTGGACTATTTATTTTTGATTTGATATCTAATCTATTTTATTTTGGGCGATACCTTATGAAAGATTTTTTGAAGAAGGTATGTATCATATATATATATATAGTCGGTCAGATAGCTCAGCGGGCTGTGCGGCTGCCTCTCATTCGCTTCACTGTCGAATGGTTCAGTGGATGTGGGTCGATACCCAGCTCGGTGTACGGAAAACAAAAAGTCTAACGCAGCAGTTTAAAATTCTAGATGAATCTGCGGCTTGGACTAGGATATGCTGGGATCTGATCGGCCTATGGTGGAGCAGTACGGCAAGAGATAAGGGCTTGCGGCTCGGTGATACTCCTCCATAGATCCCTACCGGACGGGCGTAACGCCTAAAAAAACCGGATATATATATATATATAATATATATATATATATATATATATATATTATATATATATATATATATATAAATAATATTAATATATATATATATATATATCGACTTATAATGGAAGGGAAAGTGGAAGGAAGAAGAGGTCCAGGAAGAAGAAAATGCTCCTGGTTGAAGAACATAAGAGACTGGACAGGCATGGACACACATGCGATACTAAGAACAGCTCAAGATAGAGAGCAATTTGCTGTAGTTATAGCCAACCTTCAGTAATGGAGAAGGCACCTTAAGAAGAATATATAATATATATATATATATATATATATATATATATATATATAATATATATATATGTATCATATAAGGGTTATGTTCCAATATGAACTGTATTAGTCGTGCTATTTTTTCATTCTTTGGACCTATTCCTTGGCGCTCCAGGGCTAAATTTTCTTTGCCGCTTTAACTCCAATTTTTGCATTGAAGTCACCAATAACCATTGTATATTTAACTTGTGAGTTATCGATATCACTTAAAATATCTTTGTAGAATATGTCAACTGTTTAGTTAGGTTGGAGCATAAATCTTAACCCTCTTTCCCGATAGAGAGTCTTTCTTTGTTCAGCTAGCAATAGTCCCAGCTATGACGCGTATCGTCTTCTTAGACACTGTGTGAAATGCGGTAGCAACTCTTAAGATATTCACATGTTATACTGATGAGACTTTTTTCCAATATTCTTGGGTTTCGAAAGTGTAAGCTCAAATGGATGTTCCATAGCTATGTTAATACTAATGTGACTACTGACGACAGTAATGTTCTCCTGCTTTTTTTGAGCCACCCACATTCGACATTAGCCGTGATAAGGTTGCCCTTACTACTGACGCTTTAGCACTGACATGCCCCATCTGCTGGCTGGAACTAAGTCGGGCATCAATCACAACTCCCAAGTACCGTAAGAATAGTTGATAATTTCATGTTCTCCTATGATCAGCGTTACGGTTTTTACCTGTTTCCTATTAGTAGTAAGCACCGCCTTAGATTTGTGCTTCGCTAGTTTGAATGCGATAGTTCGCTAGTTTGCGATGATCACCACAGCCACATCATTGGCACATGCCATGAGCCTAGCATTCCTTGGTAATTTTAGCTCATATCATATACAATATTCCACGAGAGAGGCCCGAGCACAAAGCCCTGTAGTACTTCTTAAATGATTTTATATTTCTTCGGATACGACTTTGTGTCATACTTCAAAAGTCGATCAGTAAAAATTTTAACTGTAGTTTGTTTCTTAATATATTCATTACATCACCAAACAATACTATAAAGAGGAACTGTACAAGATTTCAGCAAAATAAATCGATTTTTTCTCGAGAAATCTTGCCTACTGTACTGAAAAATACACGAGAAAAACGCGTTTGACATTTTTAAACTGAGAGTATTGTTCGCATTTACTTTAAATTTTGTGTGAATGCTTTTGAAGTACCATACTTTCATATGAAATAAAAAATAAATCAGTTTTTTTTTAAAATAAATACAAGATCCATGTAACCGTTAAAAGATGTATAATATAAGAAAATAAAATACAAATTATACTTACCCACGTAAATATATGCATCATTTGTAGCCGCCCCTCTCAAAAACGAATTTCCAACGAATCCCAATATCCCTATCAAGCTTATAACAGTTTCTTTCATATGTAGTTTTCCGTGCAAAACTAATGTAGCCCCGACCGTTCCCACGATGGTTATAATATGGGAGGCTGCATTAAAGTAGTTGTTTTTAGTTAAAGTCCAACCTAGCTTCTCTCGCAAGAATGGAAATCTGACCACGTTCTCTCCATTGGCGATAAAGTTCATAATCGTTATAGTTACCACAATGCTTACGACTATACACCTGTCATAGTTTTCTCGTTTCTTAAACACAGTTTTAAATATGCCCACAAAGTAGGAACAACGAAGAAGCTCTTTCAGAGTACCCTGCAATTAAAAAAAAAGATTCGATAATTGCACTATCAGTCTTATGGGTCATTTAAATTTTAGTTAATTCAATTTAGAACAAAATAGAAGTATAACTAAGTAAAACACAGTTTGGTTTTAAAAACAACCTTGGAATCAGAGAAGCAGTATTCAGTTTGCAGGTCCTTTGGGACCTGCAAACCTTTTAGTCCTTTTGGGCTAAAAAGCCTTTGAGCGGATCACCCACGACTAACTGATAGGTATATTAAAACAGGGTGGAATTGATGATTACGGCGTCCGTGCTATCAAAAATTTGTATTGGCATCAATAAGAAAGTATATGCAGTAAACGATGATGCACTGGTGAATATTAAAGACGACTTTTTTGAAAAGCTACATTCAGAAATTGCAAATATCGGCAGATCACGAGAAATTATAATCTTGGGGGACCTAAACAGTAGAACAGGCAAGAAACAACACAACAAAGTCATAGGCCAATATGGTGAAGAGGCTATAAATGACAACGGTACTAGACTAATAGCCTTATGCGAACAAAATGATATAAAAATCACAAATGGATTCTTTCAACACCGAGATATCCATAAATATACATGGACACAAAATACCCGAGGGCTGAAATCAATCATAGACTATACAATCATAAGACAAAAGACTAAATTGATTGTACAGGATGTGCGGGTATATAGAGGAGCCACTTGCGGCAGTGACCACCATCTAATAAAAACAAAGCTCACAATAGGAATAGATAGAGCAAGAGATTTAAAAGAAGCTGCAGAGGAAATAGAAAAACTAACAGAAAAGAAATACAACCTAAACAGCTTAGAACAAGAGAGCATGAGGGATTTATACAGGAGTAGACTAGATAAAAAGTTAGAAACCATGCAATTTACCAGCAATGAAGAGCATTATCATTATATAAAAACATGTCTTCAGGAAGCAGCAACAGAGGCTCTCGGACTCCAAGTAAAAAACCACAGAAAAACTTCGTATTGGTGGGACGAAGAAATATAACAAGAGATTAAAAATAAAATAGAGAAGTATAAAAAATTTCTGAACACAAGGACCGACGCTGATAAGGTAGAATACAAGAGGACCCAAGCTAAAGTGCGAAAAATGATATGCCAAAAGAAGAATGAGGCTTGGGAGCAAAAGTGTAACATGATTAACACGCATTTAGGAGGACGGAGAAGTACAGAAAGTTGGAAAGTATTAAAATCGCTACGACAGGAAAAGAAAAGAGATATAATATCATCAATCACACCGGATCAATGGGACGAATATTTTAAAAAACTCCTAAATGAGGACAGAGCGGAATTTTTAAATAACAGTGATACCAGCAACGTAAATATCTTAGCCTCACCATTACGAATAACAACAAAAGAAGTAGAAGAAGTATGTAAGTCTTTAAAAAATAACAAAGCCCCAGGACCAGGGAACATACCAGCTGAACAAATAAAATATGGCACAACAAAATTATATGAAAACCTGGCTAAACTCTTTCAAAGATACATCAACGGAGCGGAAATCCCAGAAGAATGGAAGACATCATGGATATCCACCATACATAAAAACAGGCAGACGGGATCAATGTGACAACTACAGAGGCATCGCTGTAACGAACTCGATCAGCCGAATATACGGAAAACTGATTAAAAATAAAATCGAAAACGAATATAAAGATATAGAAGCTGAAGAACAGGCAGGATTCCGGGCAGGGAGATCAACGGTAGACCATCTGTTTTGTATTACACAGATTATTGAGAAGAAACTGGCCGTCAACCAGGAGGTGCATCTGTTATATGTGGACTTGAGAAAAGCGTATGATAGCATCCCACAAAGCAAACTATGGGAAGCATTAGAGAAAACCAATATAAGCGCAAATTTAATAACAGCGACGAAACAATTGTATACCAAAACTGCAGCAAGGGTGAAAGTTGGAAGCGGGCTATCGAGAGGATTCCAAATTAGCAAAGGCCTAAAACAAGGGTGCTGCCTTTCACCGACATTATTTAAGATCTACCTCGAGCAAACTCTAAAACTTTGGAAACGCAAATGCAAAAACATGGGATTACCGATCAACAACAATACAATATACACTTTGTCATTTGCAGACGACCAACTTGTACTAGCGCAAGACTACGATGATATAGAATATATGACAAGGAAATTAATAGAGGAGTACAAAAAAGGTGGTTTGGAAATAAACATAAAAAAGACCGAATATATGTGTATCGGTGGGACACAGCAGGACCTTACACTGGGAATGGCGAAATTATTAAACATTGCGACGCATATAAATACCTGGGTATGACCATCACACAAGAAGGAAACGTAGACCGGACGATAGAAGAAAGAAACAACCAGGGAAGAAAAGCAATTACCCTTCTCAATAGCATACTGTGGGACCAGGCAATATCAAACAACAACAAACATAGAATATACAATACAATTGTTAAGAGTATAATCACTTACAGCAGTGAAGTATGGCAAATAAAAGAAAGATACAAGAGAAAACTTGAAGCAACAGAAATGGATTTCTGGAGGCGCTCAGCAGGAAAATCAAGATTAGAAAGGGTAACCAACAACAGAATTAGGGAAATAATGAATGTGAAACACACAATAGTAGATGACATTAGTACCAAACAGCTTAGATGGTATGGACACGTACAAAGAATGTCCGAAGAACGACTCCCGAAACAAATCCTAACGTGGACCCCTCATGGTAGACGAAAAAGAGGAAGACCCCGCCTTAGTTGGAGAGAAGGCATAAATCGAAGTATGAGAGAAAGAGAATTAGATGAAGACCTTTGGATGGACCGAAGTGAATGGCGACTAGGCATCGGAAGACGTAGGAGAACGTTTTAAAACCGATATATATATATATATATATATATATATATATATATATATATATATATATATCAATAAGAAAAGCTACGAATTGGTCAGAACAAGACGGAACCAGTGGAAATAGGACGTGGAGTGCGGCAATAGTGCATTTTATCGCCTCTACTTTTTATTATCTACTACGAATTTATTTTCAAAGAGGTCTTAGATGTAGATACTGACATTAAAGTTAACGGTATTAATATCAACAATCTCAGAGATGCAGACGACACGGTACTGATTGAGTTATGTAAAAATTTAGTTTGTAAATTTAACTTTTATCAATAATTTTTACCAAATATTAATTATACTCATCAAGTAACGGCTTTTTCGTAGGTAGGTGGTGGCGAATCTCTAATAACTTGTATGATCTGCATCTAGATCATATCTTGGGAATAAAATAAGAGCTATATGATAAGAAGGGGGCGGTAATTTATAAGAAACATTATTAGTAACTGCCCTGATTTCGTATCTGTTCCACCGTGTCGTGCTCTTCTACCATCGCAATAATCGGCATTTCTAGTCGAGTATGTAATAGAGAATAAGATACAATTGCTTCACACAAAGATATCAAACCTCCTAACAGAAGCAACATTACAAGAAGGCAACAAAACACAACTTCGAATATTAAAAACTTTTTTTTTTTTTGAGGGTATACAAGGCAACTATCGAACACTGTGATTAATTTAATCTTGCCCAAGTACTTTCGATCAATAGATCATCTTCAGGGGCATCTGAAATAAGCCAAGAAAAGTTTTTTATTAAAAAGGAAAATTAAATCACTTGGATAAAAAACTCCAAGTTTATGGTTGAAAAAAATTTTTTTATATGTGATAAACGTTTATACACTTACTTCGTCAGTTGTGGCCTATCCGACATAGTAGAATGTCAGAAATGTAAAATATGGACATAACAATACAAAATACAATACACTAAGACAAACAAACACTTTAAAATTTATAAGGAGAAGCTGCATGTTGTATAGAAGCCGGAGACAGAATGGGCTCCCGGTCTGACGGAAATGTAGAGATGACATGTGACAAATGACAGCTTGTGAAGGGCAGTTATGTGATCTGCACCTTTCAAAATTCTATGACACTAAGTATTGACCAAAGGTCCAACTGACACACCACTATAGAAAATCGACTGATGAAATATAAAATTATATATAGTATTAAGACAGTGAGAGTTTTCATTTGTTTTCCTTGTAATCTCCAAATCTTCCAATAAATCCAACTCAAGATAGTTTTTCTTTCTGCTAATGTCATGTAAGATAGATGAACCAGAATGGATGTTAAAATTGTGGTTGCTGGATACTAAGTGTTGACCAAAACTTGAAGAATTTGGTCTTTTCAAATGTTCAGAGACTCTAGTGGATCACATTTTAATTTGTAAATACCACTTTTATCAAGTGTATTCATCCTATCTTTGGTATTGATTAAGAAGGAACCTAAAGTGTTATGTGATTTAAAGGAAATTTTGATGTTATCAATTGTAGAAGTAAAAAGTTTAGATATTTTATTGGAAATGCTACTAATATAAGTGAAGGAGAAATATCTGATGTTATCTGAAGTAGTTAGTATTAGTAGCATTTCCAATAAAATATCTAAACTTTTTTCTTCTACAATTGATAACATCAAAATTTCCTTTAAATCACATAACACTTTAGGTTCCTTCTTAATCAATACCAAAGATAGGATGAATACACTTGATAAAAGAGGTATTTACAAATTGAAATGTGATGATTGTGATGCCTCTTATGTAGGTAGAACCATCAGAAAGTTATCCACTAGAGTCTCTGAACATTTGAAAAGACCAAATTCTTCAAGTTTTGGTCAACACTTAGTATCCAGCAACGACAATTTTAACATCCATTCTGGTTCATCTATCTTACATGACATTAGCAGAAAGAAAAACTATCTTGAGTTGGATTTATTGGAAGATTTGGAGATTACAAGGAAAACAAATGAAAACTCTCACTGTCTTAATACTCAAATTAATTTAAATTGTACTAAATTTAAGCCTATATTTAAAAACTTTATTACAGCTTCACCTCGTAGAGGACCCAGCTCGACTGTTTAAACTCCATGCACTGAGCATTTCAATATTAATTTTAAAGTTCTTCCATTGACTGTGGATTCAACTGAACTACGTGGACTATAACACATTTATATATTTTGTCTTCAATTTTGATTTTAACTTTTAGTAATTTAACTGCATATTCAGATTTTTCTTTTTACAGTACTGATAGCGCTTGGTGGACCATTTTATTGTAGTCAACCATCCACTGTCTAATATATTGTTAGTCTTTTCTCACATTCATACTTTATGTCAACTTCAATGCTCTCAAACTAACATCCTAATTATCATAGACAGGTTTGAGTGTGAGATTGGGATTATTCAATCTAGATAAAAAAATTATACTATATAATTTTATATTTCATCAGTCGATTTCCTATAGTGGTGTCAGTTGGACCTTTGGTCAATACTTAGTGTCATAGAATTTTGAAAGATGCAGATCACATAACTGCCCTTCACAAGCTGTCATTTGTCACATGTCATCTCTACATTTCCGTCAGACCGGGAGCCCATTCTGTCTCCGGCTTCTATACAACATGTAGCTTCTCCTTATAAATTTTAAAGTGTTTGTTTGTCTTAGTGTATTGTATTTTGTATTGTTATGTCCAAATTTTACATTTATGACATTCTACTATGTCGGATAGGCCACAACTGACGAAGTAAGTGTATAAACGGTTATCACATATAAAAAAATTTTTTTCAACCATAAACTTGGAGTTTTTTATCCAAGTGATTTAATTTTCCTTTTTAATAAAAAACGTTTCTTGGCTTATTTCAGATGCCCCTGAAGATGATCTATTGATCGAAAGTACTTGGGCAAGATTAAATTAATCACCGTCTTCGATAGTTGCCTTGTATACCCTCAAAGTTTAATTATTCGAACATTCAACCTTATATTGATTAAAAACTTTGTACGGAAATTCAAGTACTTTCTTTGGAGTATTACTTTAACAATACTCTTACTCCGTTTTTTGAAAAAAAAAATTATCAATTACGGTAATTGAGCTCAACAAGTCAATAATAAATAAAATTGAATATTTACTTACTTCCTGTCCTTCCTTAATTTTAACTGTCTCTGGTAAAAGAAACATCGTGTATAGCCATGATAAGGCAATTAATCCAGCAGCTAAGAAAAATACAGTTTCATAGTTTGTGGAATAAAGAATGTAGCCACTAGAAAGAGTTCCTACCAGAAGACCAACCAATAAAACTGCTTCAAAGATGGCCATCCTAAAAAATAGTTGATCTACGTTATGATAAAATAATTTTTGTTGTTGTTGTAAAAATGCTTTCATCAAGATCAAGATAAAACCAGTGCCCGATATTCTATTCAAATATGTTTAGCATAAGCTAAAGAACATAGAACAAAAAAAAATGTTTTAAATCTGGGATTCCAATAACATGTATGGAACCAAAAAATTATATTAAGAATAGAGAAGACTCAAATTATTAAAAAAAGTCTACCTAAGGAGAATAATTATATGGTAATATTAGAGATTAAAATCTTTTAAAGTCAGACAAAATATTTTCATTTTTAAAAAATCAAAAGTTACGCATATTTGAAACACAGAAATTGTTTATTTTGCAATTTATTTGTATTATTGTCAAAAATATGTTCGAATGTTTGCAAAGACATAAAAGAAGTGTTACAAAAAAATTAGAAACTTGGAGAAGATATCAATTATTAACGATGATTTTATCAAAAAAAGTGGGTTCTTCATAATTGAGGTAAATAAAAATATATTTCAGTTGCGCATTCTACAAAGGTTATAAAATAATAATATCCCAGTTTTTAAAAACAAATACCATATTATTCGATACCAAAGAGCAAAATATCAATAGTAGAAAAAAGTCAGTGGCCTTAAATAAATGACTTAGTAGATTTAATTAATTATTAATTAATTTATATAACATCATGGAAAGCTTCAATATTCCCTCGAAATATATCCGACTAGTAAAAGCAACGATGGACTCCACAATAGCAACTGTACGCATACAGTACGAATTAACTGACAGCTTCGAAATAGTTCAAGGGCTGAAACAAGGTGATGGACTAGCTCCAACACTGTTCAATCTGGCCCTTGAATATGTCATCAGAAAGCTGAATGTCGGAAGAGCCAATCTCCTAACTAGTCCTAACAAACAAATCTGTCCAGCTCGCCGCATATGCGGATGACATTAACCTCATGTCCCGCAGAGTGGATGATGCAGCAGAAACATATTCGCAGCTGAAAAAAACGGCCAAGGAGATTGAACTTGAAATAAATACACAGAAGACAAAAATACTAACACAGACGCGGACAAAGCGAACAAGAAATCGAATCAAAGTAGAGGATGACATTAAAACATTGAAGAGTTTTACTTATCTGGGAGTCGAAATGAATACGGAGGAAACAGAAGAGGCCGAAATTCAGAAGAGAATAATGAAGGGAAATAAAGCCTATTTTTCCCTGATTAACATATTCCGCTCCAAGACGGTACATCGAAAATCGAAACTTAAGGTCTATAAAACTATCATCAGACCGATAGTATGCTATGGATGCGAAACATGGGTTTTGACATAAAGCACTAAACGAAGATTAGAGGTTTTCGAGAGAAAAATCCTAAGGAAGATCTTTGGACCCATCACTCAAAATGGGATGTGGAGATCTAGATATAACTATGAACTCTACCAACTGTTCAAAGAAGCACCTATTGCAGAGTTCGCTAGAGTACAAAGGCTTCGATGGGCTGGTCATGTGGTACGGATGGATGCCGACAGATTGCCGAGAAAGGCTTGGATGGTAAAATGCAGGGCAGAAGACCAAAGGGAAGACCACGTAATAGATGGGAGAACGAAGTCACAGCAGATGCGCACAACTTATTGAACGTCAGGGCTTGGAGAAGTGGCGCGGGATCGCCTTTGTTGGAGGCAGAAGTTACAGGAGGCCAAGGCTCAATTTGGGCTGTAGCGCCATTGAAAGAAGAAGAAGAAGATTTATTTAATGAACCATGGGCGACCAAAATATTCCTTCCTTTTTTCATGTGAAATTATGACTAATTATCCAGCCTTCATTTATTACGTCCACTGTTGGACATAGGCCTCCCTTAAATCCCTCCATTCTTTACGATTTTCTGCTCTTTTTTACCAATTTTTGATGATACGCCTGATGTCGTCAGCCCAACGTGTAGGTGATATTCCTCTACTACGTTTGTCTGCTCTTGGCCTCCAATTTGTTATTTTGCTCATCCATTGTGAGTCGTGCATACTCGGTACATGACCTACCCAGTTCCATCTGAGTTTCGCTATGTGTTCCACATCACCAATACTCGTGTTTTTTTGCAGATCTTCATTTCTTATTCGGTTCCGCAACATTACTCCAAGTATAGACTGTTCCATTCGTCTCTGTACCACTCTCAATTTCGAAGCCGTAGTCCAGGTTAGGGTCATATTTTCCGCCCATACGTCATGACAGACAGTACGCATTGATCAAATACTTTTCTTTTAAGGCTAATTGGTATGTTGGCCTTAAGTGTGTCACAAACACAAACACACACACACACCTTCACACACATATATACACATACACACACATAACACAGCTTCTAACGTCCACTGCTAAACATAGGCCTTTCGCATGCTTTTCCACTTAGTCCAATTTTGCGCCATCTGAATCCAATTTGTAGTCACTCTTTTTATGTCACCTCTATTTCTGTTAGTTTGTATTCATGGTCTCCATTCCAAAATTCTTTTTGTCCACCGGTCATCAACTGATCTTGCTACATGACCTACCCAGTTCCACTTTAGTGTTGTTATCCTTTTATTAACGTCTGCTACTTCTGATCTTTTGCGTATAGTAGCATTGGGTATTCTATCACGTCGAGAAATCCCTAGCATTATTCTCTCCATTGCGCTTTTCGCAACTTGTAGTTTACTCACTGTTGTTCTTGTGAGTGTTAGGGTTTCTGCTCCGTAGGTATGGCCAAGTATTGATAAAAGTCAACTAGCTCCATATCTTTGTTTTCTACTGAGACGTTTTTGTTGTGCCATAAATTGTGTTTTTGAAAAATTTATTTTAAGACCAACTCTTTTTGTGCTTGATCAAATATGTCTGCAATAAGAACGATATCATCTGCAAATTTATTTAAAAATTTTCCATCTACATTAATGCCCTTTTAGTTCCAATCCATTGTTTTACAAGCGTATTCTAGCAAAGTTGTAAATAATTTAGGAGACATATTGTCTCCTTGCCTAACGCCTCTTTCAATACGAAAGGTCTTTTGATTGCTTGGTCCAAAATAAAGAACGTTTAGACCAAAACAAAGAAAATATAAATAAATAAACAAACAAATAAGTTATTACCTTAAGGCTCTAGTATGCTCTGTTGAAATATCGTTTATATACGCCAAAATAACAGCAAAATATGTAGGTGCACCACCTGTTAACATCGTAGGTATTGCTGCAAGTACAAAGTACCACGGCGATAAATTTCTGAAAGCGGCCATGATCCCAAAAATGGACATAGAAATAGTAAAACCTAAAAAAATAATATAATAAATATAAATAATAATGGAGTTATTAACATTATGTACTGATAATACATATTTTCAACTAAATAATGAATTCTATAAACAAAATTTAGGTCTAGCAATGGGCTCTAGTTTATCTCCATTCTTAGCCGATATATTTATGGAAGATTTTGAAACAAATATCATTTCTAAACAAAATTTCAAACCCACAGTATGGTGGAGGTATGTAGATGATGTATTCTCAATATGGCCTCATGGATCAGAGTTGTTGGACACATTAATAAATGATATAAACGATAAAGAAGAGACAATAACATTTACCATGGAAAAATAATATAATAACACGCTACCTTTCCTGGATGTTTTAATCTCTAAGAACGATACTGGATATGAGACTCAGGTGTATAGAAAACCAACACACACCAATAGATATCTAAATTTCAAATCAAATCACAATTTTAATGTAAAAAAGGGAATAATTAAATCCTGATACGATAGAGCCAAAATTACTTGCTCTAACGAAAATTCGTTCTTGGAGGAGAAACATTTGTTAACATCTGTTTTATTAAAAAATGATTATCCTTTATCGTTTATAAATAAGGAATTTTCAACAATCGATCGAATAGAACAGAACAACTTAGAACCAGATCCTACAGCATACACAAGAAATAATATGAGGAAAATAACAATACCGTACATAAAAGGATTATCAGAAAAACTTAAAAGGATAGGAAATAAATTCAACATTTCAACAACATTCAAAACAACAAACACGTTGAGATCTATTTTGTCCAAAACCAAACCTAACAATGAACAAGAAAGGACAAAGAATTGCATTTATAAAATACCTTGTGAATGCGATCAGTTTTATTTAGGTGAATCATCAAGGCCATTAAATGTTAGAAATAAGTGAACATCAATCTTATATTAAAAATAGGGAATTTGATAGATCTCAAATATGTAAACACGCATGGGATAATGAACATAGGGTTCAATGGAATAATTCAAATATAGTCCTAAAAGAAACGGATGGTAAAAAAAGAAAAATCAAACAAGCGGCTCTAATTATGCTAAATGAGGCCAATTATGTCGCAAATTCCTCGGCAGAATGTAGTAGGATCTGGTTACCAATATTGAAAGAGGAAGTTATTAATAAGAAAATACCAGTATTAGTAAGTCAGTAACATATAGAGGATACATCGTTTATATTTTTTAAATAACGTAACATATAAAATCAGAATTTTGATATTTGTTGAAGGTAAACTAAATTCACGAACAAATACTTACAATGTCGGGATAGTATTATGAGGTTTTTTTCCTGGTTTTTTCCCTCATAATTTACTATGGAAACACTAACAGGAGAATTTTACTGTCATCATGTCATGTGTTTGTCTTTTTAAAGACGAATTACATGCTATGATTTTTTCTGACGGATATTCTCAAGTTAAAGTTGATTTCATGTAATCGAATGAACTATCTTATAAATAAAGTCGTCCCAGGAGCGCAACTCAACAATATTGGCAATATCATTTTAAAGTCGTCTACTTTAAAATGCATAATGTATGTCTGAGTTGTCAATATAAATGAGTCAGATAAAATTAAATTATTAGAAGAATTTTTTCACTATGTAACAAAAAACAAAATTTGTTTAATTTACTGTTTGTATTTTGAGAACGATTTCCGAATTGGAAATTGAAACGTCAATAAACGTATTTTTATCTTTAATTGTGGCTTATTCCCAGTTATAAATAGTAATAAAAAAATAATGGTAGTGATGAAGTAGACCCATACGTTATGTTGCCAAATTGTTAGCAAATCTTACGTTAATTCGTCTACATATTTGGATATGCCATGGTTCTGCAACCAAAGAGTTGTTTTATAGGCAAGTAAATGAACGTGAAATACGTGGATGTCGTGTAATTTTCCGTGTCACCACCGATTTGAATAAACATTTGGATTCGGCTTCTATTAAGTCTCGGTTCACTTTTGTTCTGGTGCTGTTGGTTGCTTTTTTTATAGGGATGAAAACAACCGCCATTAAAAAAAATATAATTGTAAATTAAAGGGGGTAACTAATTCAGATAATCTTTTAATAGAGTAAATGAATGTAATTTAGCATTAAATCACATAATTATAATTAAAACAATGTCATTAAATACCTTGTCTTCACTGATTTGCATGGATATTAGGATTTAGTATTGTTCTGAAGCTATTTTCTTGTGGCATCTTAAAGTAATTACTATTTTAATGGGAATACACCACAATTGAAGTTTAAAATAAGTTTATTAACGTTTCATTTCCACATCGGAAATCGTTCTCAAAATACAAAAATTTTTGTTCGTATTTTTTCTAATTTTCACTTCTTTTTTATTTTTTTTCTAATTTCCGAATTGGAAATTAAAACGTGAATAAACTTATTATAAACCTCAAATTTTTCTATTCAGAACACCTTCGATAAGCAAAATAATAGACAATATGTAAGTAAATCTTACCTATTAAGCTCATAAGCTGCACGGGTATCCTTCCATGTTTATCGGACCAAGGTCCAGCGAAGATGCATATTAGAACTGGTACTGTTGCAGTTGGCATTTCCAATACCATAGTAACTACATTAGCAAGTGGTTGCACATTCTTTTCCAACTCCCTTGTGAAATTATTGTTTACCCTTCCCAGTAAAGCACAATCAGATTCATTGTACTTCAATAAGGTGTAGCAAGTTCTGTAGATTGTGAAGTTGTTTAGAACTGAAGCTAAAAATAATATTACCATTATTAGAAAGTAAGTGAAAAAGAGCTAATAAACTTTATAATTAAACACTTGATTGAAATGGTTTTTAAAGACGAGTATGATATGTCACTATTTATTATAGTTGCATCGACTCTTTTGGACATGCTTAGAGTACCTAAACTTTGTAAATAGTTTCGTTATAGCTGCAAAAGTATTAGAGCCACCTCCTAAAAATTTGTTGGATTTTCGTAAAGACCTTACTAGTAGCCTCTGTTTTGCTTCTCCGCACAGAACAAACAAGGCTCCAAGAGGAAAAAAAAAACGACGGCATGATTTTTGCGTTTCTTCGGAAATAAGATTGTCCAATGGAAGAAATCACTGGCCAAAATTTGGTGATCCAAGGGGAAGATGTGGAATTCGTAGTATCCATGGTTGTAGTATTGATTGTGTCAATTTTTAGACTGGGTTCGTCATCTATTACGATTTGTGCTCTTTGTTTCCAGTAGAGGTTTGTTATTATTCGTAAGTCCCCGTGGTCTATGTTTTTGTCTTTAGAATTTGGACTAATTTTTCATGTCTTACTTTGTCAAATGCTTTTTCAAAATCAACGTTACAAACATGCACATCAACATTTATATGCTTCTCTGCTTCCTAGTCCGTTTCTGAACCCAAACTGACTATCATCTATTCCTTTTTCCAGTTTTTTATTTATACGACCATGTATTATTTTCAGGAGTAATTTGAGATTGTGATTTATTAGTGATATTGTTTTGTATTCACTGCAGTATTTAGCGTTTGTATTTTTAGGGATAGAATAAAAGGTGGAGAGTAACCATTGCTTCGGTATGTGTCCTGTTTTGTATGCTGTATGCTGCAATGTCTAAGGTTTCATCATTTATGCATTTTAAGATTTCTATAGGGATTTGGTCTGGACCTAATACCTAATCTGGACCTATTTTTGCTGTTTTTTAATGCCATTTTAATTTCCTCTTTTATTACCTTTAAAACGATATCCTCTTCTACTTACTCTTTAATTTGTCGTTAGTATTCAACACACGTTTCCCATTTGCTTCTTTCAGAGTTCCCGGTTTTCTTGTTCTATTACAATGACATAAAACATTTAAGACAATGACCATATTATGATCTATTGTTTTATGGGTGTGAAAACTGGAACAAGGTTTTACAAGCACTGTCTAATTTGTAGTAAAATAAATAAATAATGTATCTAAATAAAAATAAATATAAAAGTTGAGTAACAAACTTACCTAACAATAAAAAGCTGGTGTAGGTTAAAAATAAGGGCACTTCCACCGTTATCTTGCGAAGCCAAGTAATTTTAGGGTATCGCATGATGTTTAAAAATCATGAAATAGTAATTAAAAGAATCTTAAGTTTTACTATAGCCGCAATCTTAATAACGCACTGACTTGTACTTTTATTTCTACAAATATTTTTCATAAATTTCCTTCTGTTTGTTTTAGGTAGATAGCATTCATGGGTTGATCCTTCTCTGATTTGTTTCCATATTGTTAAGTATTAAAATTATTTGATTTTCTAATATTTACATACTATTTTATTTTATGTTAGGGGAGATATGGTAAGAGAATATTCTGATGAATGGATAATGAATATATTATTACCAATCGATCTAGTTGTTTGTTTTTAAAGAACTAAAAAAACTAAATATAAAAAATAGTTTTTTTCGGGATGATGTCTTGTGTGTAAAACTAAAAGAATATATGAAGGGCTGTCTTGTCTTCGTTAATACCAATAAAGTTGAAGTATGATTGCATGAGTAGTTCAAATTCCGAAGGTGACAATTTATGCGACTTTTTAGCTTGAACGGATGGGGTCCTCAAGTTTGCTACCTTTATATGAATCTCGGTGAAATACAGTGCGAAGATTAGTATTAACACACATCACTCATTAATTTTTTGCATGACAAAAGGTGCTTCTTTGACATATCTATCGATAAAAAAATTTAGTCCATCCCTTGATAAAACACTTCGATACTGAAATTACATTAAATGGGCCAGGTTTTGTGCGAGAAGCTATAATATTTTCCTCCAAAGCAGCAGGCGTTTCCATTCTTTTTTTTACTGTTAATAAGGCTCATATTTTTATCGCACTCAATGTAGGAATTGCCTCTAACGGGATATGTTATTGTAATGGATTGAAGACGTTTTACCACTGATACCATGTAATAAATAAACCTTACCACTGTATAGTTTTTGTTTTGGCCGTCACTAATTAACTGATTTTGATCAGTTGTTATCAACAGGTCCTCGTAGACACTTCGTCTCAGGACCATTTTACTCATGTAGAGTCATACGCCGCCATGTTACCTATCCAACGGTAACTTAACCATCACAAATTAGAAATACTAATAATGTAAAACAACTTCAAATTTATAACATTTAAAGGGTTTTTACCCATATATTTTGGTGGCTACTAGCATGTACCACCGTTTGCACTGATGATGGATTGTCTAATCCGAAAACGTTTTGCAATGTGTTTGTGATAGCCCGTTTGAGGCATTTTTATATACCTTTTATAAAGGATTTTAAACAAAATTTTTTTGATTTAAAATTCTTTATCTATTCATTTCATTTATTGTGTGACAACATTTTGCGTTTGCATTTGCAAAATTCATCAAACTCATGTGACTGAAGCTGCCCATTGTCACTTTCTTTTAGTGGATGTGTTTCTACTATCTGCCATAATTGTTTTAAATAAATTAACTAACCAAACAGAACTGAACAAGCACGAGGTTATAATGATGTATTTGATACACTGACACGACCGTTTGCAAGACAATAATGCCAATTACATCTTTTGGCGCTGCTGAGTAGACATTCAGTGTTTCAGGTGTTTACGCGCGCACATGCACGGTTTTCTACCGATATAGGGTATTTAAAAACTGTAATAACTCGTGACAAGCACTGTTTTCTTACTTATTTGAAATGTTCAAACATAGATTTTAACAAAACTTACAAGATGGCGTACTTAACTCAATTTTAATTAATTTGTGACATTTATGGTTTTCTCCAGGGACCCTTTATATGAGTGGTTTAGAATAAATGGGATTAAAATGCAATTTTGGTAGTTTTGAAATATTTAAGTTTTTTTTAAGTTCCTTGAATAATTAAAATGTCTTGTACATTAACTACGGTAATACATAGTATGATTTTATTGTTTACACACAAATTAATATATATATATATATATATATATATATATATATATATATAATATATATATATATATATATATAAACACTTTAGCTGTATTTTGGAAAAAAAACGCTTTTAACCCATATCTTTTTGATATTTTTGCACGAAAAAACGTGACTTCAAAATAGCTTTATTGCTAAATTATTTATTTATAATATAAAACGCAGAAAACAGAATGAAAACTACAAAATATCTTTAACCCTACACTAAGCAAGTTTGACTAATAATGAGAGTCTAGACCTGCTTTAACTTCCATAACTTCGCCAAATTAAGTTTGCTGCGATACCGCCTCTTACGTTTCAGTTTCTTCTTAAGAACCTTTTTCAGAAACTTCGTTCATGGTATTTATTTTTGATTTTTTTTGTGTTCATGAAGGTTGTTGTTAAACTCGTGGTAAACCGGCGAAATCCAGAAGATTTTGAATATTGTCCCACTTCAATTTATTAGATTTTATCAGCTGGACGTAGAGGTTTCTTAACCATATCCTATATGCTAATAATTGGACGTCCAGCTCCTTTTTGTACGCATACAAGAAAATGTTTTAGAAGATTTTTCATACAAAATGTATCCCACTAATCTCAATTTAAAAAGAAAACCTTTAGTGTCCTTTTAAGGCTACAATGCGTAAAGTTGTTTGAAAAGTCAAAATACAGGTCGACCAATCACAGGCATTTGAAACACATGTTGGGCTGCGATAGGGAGATGCGCTGGCGTATCTTCTTTTCAACATAGCTCTGGAAAAGGTGGTCAGAGATGCTCAAATATACAACAAAGGAAACATTTTAAATAAATCATCCCAAATTTTGGCATATGCAGATGATGTTGACCTTGTTGCCCGCACAAATGTATACCACCTTGTCAAATGCCCCAAAAAATATGGGCCTGCAAGTAAATGAGGAGAAAACGATAAGATAATGGCATCAACACCCAACAAAAGAGCCATAAACATCGGCCACCAATTCACATACTTAGGCTCCTGATCACCAAGGAGAACGTCATGACGGAAGAAATCAAGCGAAGAATAATCCTAGCAAACAAATACTATTTTGGATTCAGTAGACATATGAGAAGCAGAAACTTAATCAAAAACAAAAATAAACATATACTTACAAAACCCTTATACAACCAGTGTTAATATATGGATCAGAGACATGGACCATTTCCAAGGCAGGTGAAAACCTCCTGCTTATATTTGAACGAAAGATCCTGAGAAGAATATTACATAAATATAAATATATTACAGATATAAATATATATTTGGTGGTAAAGACGTAGTATCTCTTATTAAAATACGAAGACTAAGATGGGCAGGACATCTGGCAAGATCACTGCAGAACAATCCTCCAAGAAGAATCCTTATGTTACAACCTGTGGGAAGTAGAAGTAGGGGTAGGCCAAAACTCAGATGGAGGGATGGTGTAGATGAGGATGATAGAAAAATAGGCGTAGCAAACTGGCAACAGTTGACAATGGATAGAACTGACTGACGTAATAGACTTGGGAAGGTCGAGGCTCTTTTATAGGGCTGTAGCACGAATGATGATGATGATAAAAAGACAAAAACATTCTTAATATTTCCAAAGCTCGTTAACAGCTATTTGAAAATGACCTTTGTTCTCTCAAACTATAATACATTTCTAACTTGGATGCACCGTACTGAAGACGACCAATAGTCAGAAATACGTATATACGGTTGTCTTCCATGGATATAACTATTGTGTTTTTTATTTTTCTGTTTTGCGAGACATGCCATTACATTTTTCTAGTATCTACAGCTTAAATACTGGAACATATTCAAAGTCCACATTGCTAATCTTCCTTATTATTATCTACTCACTCCTATTTCATTTCAAATCTTTTTATAAGGTGAATCACTTTTTTGACGAAAAATAAAAAAAATCACTATTCATGATATCAAATACATCTATGGTTGAAGAGAGTAAATAAAATTTAACATTGTTGACAAATTATTCATTCATAACAATATTTTATCCCAATGCCTTTCAAATATTTTCATTAATCCCATGACGTTCGTAGTGAAAAGTCAACATTATGATTCATAGTGTCAAATATTTTCGTGTACAGAAACAACAAATAACATTAAAATAGTTTAATAAATATTATTCTTTCACAAGTATATCTAAAACTATTGGACATCGCATAGTAAAGCTACACCACGTAGACACCAATGCTCTGGTGGTTTGGCGGTGCTTAAATATAAAATTGTTATGTAATTTAGACCAGTCCGTCTTGCTTTCTTGTATACTGGGCACTAAAAATAATAAGATAATGTTAATGTTCTTCATAATTATTCAAAATATATATATCTATAAACACAGTCCTCAACATATATGAAGCTGATAGTAATACAGTAAAACCTCGATATAACAGACTACTTGGGGGTCCGTTAAAGCCGAAAGTCCGTTATATAAAAATATGTTACCAAAAAACTTTTTTTTAAAAATATGTATGTACACGGTATTTACATATACATACAAAATACAAACAAAATTCTATTTATTTGTCTTTGGACATTCGTCGTGAAGTGATGTTGCTGTTGATATCGACGCGTTTGCTGCCGGTAATCCTGTTTTGATAAGGGAATAAAATTTCGTTTGCACTAGATGTTTGCTGTTTTTTTATGATCAACTCTGTAAATTCTTCATGTTATTAGATCGTCGAGATGCGATCTTACCTCTGATAACTTCATTGTTTTATCGTCTTCTTCGCTATCTTTACACGTGCATCCTCATTTTTAGTTTTATAACTTCATCTGCTATGTCACTTTCAGTCATAATGTTATACCCAGGGTAACTTTCATCCTCTTCTAGCCATTGTAAAACATCTTTCTCAGCTACATGTTCTCCGACATGTCTTCCAACCCTTCCAAATTTACGTCTGCATCTTGGTTACCAAACGAATTCTTCTTAAATTGTAAGACCGTAAGTTCTGCAAAATACGCTGCCCTCTTGTATCTTCTGCATAATCTCGAACGTGCAATACAACCATTACTTCGTCTAAAAACTTTTTGCGATATATTCGTTTGGTTGCCAAAATTAATCCCTGATCTATGGGTTAAATAAACGATGTTGTATTTTTTGGAAAAAACATACAGCTAAAATTGCCACATTCTGAATGTAGAATATTTTCAAAGAGGTGAGCAGGAGCGTTGCCTAAAATCAATAAACATTTCATCTCTTCTGGTGGTATTCCCAATTTCTTCTCTTGAAATTTTCTCACTGAAGGTAGAAATTCTTTGAAAAACCAATTTTTGAAAATATCTGAGGTGAACCACGCCTTCTTAGAGCTATAATATGAAACGGGCAGATGATATATTATATCTTAGCATTTCGTTACTCATTTATGTTCTACTAATTTTTACCTAAAAGGTTCTATTTCTTATTCTGGTGCACGTAAAGCTTTACCGTAAATTCTCATAATTCCGTGCCTTTTGCAAAAGAGCCAGAGCCATCCATCACTTGCTCTGATGCTAAATTTTATTGAAATTCTTTGTAAAATATAGTGGTATGGGACGAGTTAAGCATGTATATTATTAACAATATGTTTTTTTTTTTACATTTGGCAGGACTTTTTGTCCGTTATATCCGAAGTCCGTTAAATAGAGGTATGTTATATCGATGTTTTACTCTACTCTACATTTTTAATTTTAATGAAATTTCTTATCGTAAAATTGTTTTTCTTGTCTTTTGATATTATTTGTTAGATTTAATACCAATATTGGTGACAATTTACTAACAACTGGACTTAACCAGATTGAATAAATGGAAAGTAACTGTAGAGCATCTTAATTTTTTTCCATTTTAGCCGGAAGGCACGGGGATTGCTACGCAGGCTAGGTGGGGTCGTTTGAGAGGAACGCGTGAATAAGAACATTATCGCTACGAAAAGGATAGCCAACAGAATACTCCCCCCTTAATACATCCCATACGACATCCACAAATATAACTCTAAAGCGACTTAAGATAAGCACTCCTACTTCGGAGTACTCAGCAATATTCTCACTGAATAAGCTAAACGACAGGTTTTGCTGGTAGAAAACCTGCCGAATGTGGTTTTTAATAAATATATCCTGAGATTTTGATTCACAATGGTCCCAAAAATATGACATTGGTTTACATACATTTTTAGCGACATAATGAAGACATATATCCTAATTTTTGGTATTTAAAAGAATCAAAATCATTCTTCTTATTCAGGTGCCATCTCCGCTACGGAGGTCGGCAATTCTTATAGATATTTTAATTTTTGTGGCAAAAGCTCTAAATAGTTGTTTTGATCTGCATCCAAACCATTCTCTCAGGTACTTAAACCATGAAATTCGTCTTCTTCCGATGCTTCTTCTGCCATCTATCTGTTCTTGCATTATGAGTTGCAGGATGCCATACTTCTCACCCCGCATCACATGTCCGAGATACTGTAGCTTTCTTTCTTTAATTGTAAGTTCAACTTCCTTATCTTTACTGATTCTTCTCAGTACTTCATTGGCCGTAACTCTATTTACCCAGGATACCCTCATAATTCTTCTATAGGTTAATGTTTCAAAGGCACATTTCAAAAACATTTTTAAAATTTTTTTATATTTATTGCAACCCACCAAACAAATTAAAACGAAAATATGACGTTTTTGGGCGTAGGGAACAGGGCGAAGGGGTGACGGTATAGAATTGTGCTGAGTCCTATTTTTTATTCGCATAGAATATAAGAAAAGAAAAACTGAGCAAAAAATCTAAATAAATCGCCTAAGGCAAATCTGCAAAATATAAACATTAATAATTCCTCAGAAGAAACCTCAGGCTGTAGTGCGAAAATAAGAAAGGAAAATTGTTATAATATAGATAATATATTCTGTTTTGTAGGGAATTTTTGTAAGAACATACCTATATATCATTATAAAAATTTAACCTTGTAGACCAGCTGTTGTAAGGTTTATTACCTATTGTAATAAAAAGGAAAGGTATGTTCAGTTTAAAAGTAAAACCTTGTAGGGTATTATTAATACCATATGCTATAATGTGATAAATCAGTAATGTATCGAGATGCTGCATATCGATGATGTTATAATTCACATTTATTTAGAAAAAAAAATAAAAACTATTATCTCTATTCAACTTATCTGTGATTGTCAATATAGAGCAAGAATATAATGGTGAATTTATATATACAGCAAATGTTAATTATGGTGAAATTGTATCGCGAAGAACAAAGGAATAGCTACAAAGTGATTTCTTTCAATTCTATAACAGGTCGAAGCTATCTGGTAACCCTTGGTGAAAATACATTATTTCGGGCAGCTTACCACAAAACTTCACTTTTGCTGTAAATGAACCAATTTGGCGGAAGCTACATAAATATTTTTACATAGAAACATTACTCTGAAACATATTTACCTATCACTTCATGTAAAGTTAGTTATAATTTTAAATAAAGAAAAAATACAGTAATTCTATCAGATAATATTGAAGGTCTTCAAATTCTGCTTGATCGTATTCACGAGGTAGGAGCGGAAATGAGCATTAAAATAAACTTAAACAAAACCAAATTTTTAGTGTTTAGTCGTGATCCACATCCCGATGCAAAGCTTCAATTGCACGGAGTCCAATTTAAGAAAGTTCAAAAAATGACATATTTGGGAACTGTGACAATGGACCAGCTTGATCCAGACATAGAAATAAAACGTAGAAGAGCAATGACTAAAACTACTCATGAAAATGAAGTCATTTCTTTGCAATAACCATCTCAGTTTAGAACTAAGGCAAACAATGGTTAAGTGCTATGTTTGGTCTGTACTTTTGTATGTGGATGCTAAAAGTATCGATCATGAACAAAATTTAAGCTTTGGAAATGTGGGTAGACGAATGGTGAAGATACCTTGGACAGCAAGAAAAACTAATGAAGAATTACTAAGGAGCATCAATAAAGATAGAGGAATGCTAAAGACTGTTAAACATCGAAAAATGTCTTATCTGGGACATATAGTAAGGGGAAGTCGATATAAAATTTTACAACTGATCCTTAAAGGCAAAATAGAGAGCCGTAGAGGTGTAGGAAGAAAACAAGTTTCTTGGTTAAAAAACATTCGTGAATGGACTCACGATACCAAATGCAGGACAATTATTCCATATTGCAGAAGATCGAGAAGCCTTCACAATGGTGATCGCCAACGTCGGATAATTCTGATATGGCAAGCGAAGAAGAAGAAAAAAGAAAAATCTTTCGTTGCCACTAGCATTCATACATATACAAAGTTTGCAACATGAAACATCCTGAGGTTCAGGAGATATTCATTTCTAACAACTACAGACTAAGACAGTATTAATTTATACTATTTTTTATCAGATAAGTGAGCAGGTCAAATAAAATTCACTTTACCATTCTGGTAATTCTTTGTTACATATATAATTACATTGTAAGATATATAAATAAATATTTACGACCGGTCAAGATAACAAAAGCAGTTGTTAAAGTACACAATGTCAAGATAAGTATGATTATTGCAAAGAACAGATTCCTATCTAAGATAAGAACATTTTTTTTCTATGTGTGATATAAAATATAAATAATTGTATTACAAAATGTATTTTTTTTTTATTTAATATCAGTCGAATCAACTACTAAAGGTTATTAGCGACATGTTACATCGAATTAATTACCATTTAACTGGGAATAAGCCACAATTAAAGATAAAAATACGTTTATTGACGTTTCAATTTCCACTTCGGAAATCGTTCTCAAAATACAAACAGTTTGTATTTTGAGAACGATTTCCGAAGTGGAAATGGAAACGTCAATAAACGTATTTTTATCTTTAATTGTGGCTTATTCCTAGTTAAATAGTAATTAATTTAAAATGCCACAAGAAAATAGCTTCAGAACAATATGTTACATCGAAGTACAAAAATTAAATAATTTACAATAGATGAAAAAGTTGAGTTTCTTTAAGGAACAATATTATTTATATTACAGTTTTCGTCTAATAATGCTTTTAGTTCGTTGGAAAGACTGCTGTTGAATTTTTCTTGAATATATTTTGTTCATGTTCAGCTCCGTCCTTTTTTAAGGGACACTGAGATATATTCGTGTAAACTAATTAATTTTTAAGGTACACTTTAAAAAGTCATTTATAATAAATATGGGTACAAAAAAAAATTAATTTGCTCACAAAAAAAATCACCGCGTGAGTCGCGTTGGTGGCCACAGGGCAGAAAATGTGTCGGTTGAACTTAATAATAATCATCTGATTGAGAAAAAATATAATTATGAACCTAGATAACTAATATAAGTAATTATTAAATGACAGCAACATCAAGAACACAAACTAATTATCTAATTTTCAATTTCTTCATGAAAACGTCTAAAACAATTTTCTATACACAATCCCGGATGTTCAGGGCCGTCCGCACAATAAAACAATGAGTCCTTTCGTTCTTTTTTTAGTTTGTCAGCAATATTTACACCGTCGTCGTTTTGTAATACCATTAGCTGATTTAGGCAATAAGATGGCAAATGAAACGTCAAATTTTTCTTGACTTGAAGGATTTTTAGGTTTGGTCCTAAAAGACTATCAATCACTGACAATCACTGACACTGAAAGTCGTACAATGACATTTTTCTATTAGAATTACTATAGAAATAGTATACGTTGATTAGCTTAATTTGAAAAATATGTATGCCCATGTTTTTGTACCCATTTTTTTGTACCACCTCATAGTTTTGTGTTCGCAACTATAATAATTTAACATCTGGTCGTCTAAGTCAACGCCACCTTTGTTTTTGTCATATTCAGCGACTAAACGGGGCTTTTCTTTATCAACACCTTTTCTAGACATTGTTAGAACCATTTCATGACCAAATTCGGAAGAGATCATTAAAATATCTCGCTGATCTTTTCATTTACACACACATATCCCTTTATGATTGCAAGCACTCACCAGCTCATTTTGTTATAATTTTTGGAGAAGTAACTTCGTGTGGATTTTCCGCTCTTCCAGTTTTTATTGTTTCTGTAAGATAAGGTTTAACCGAAAGTAGTATTTTACACAATGGAACACTATTATAAAAATTATCTATATATAAGGAGAGACCAACATTTAGTTTCGAATCCATCAAATTTAGCACTACTTTTTCTGTATGATTACGTCCTCCAACTACGGGGTTATCACTAGCTCCACGATAAACTAATATGCGTTGAATCACTTCGGTACATTCTGTCAAAGTATACAGTGACACCATATTTGCGTCCTTTTCCCTTTAGACGAAAACTAAGTCTTCCTCTCCATAACATCATAGATTTGTCCAGGGCTAATTTTCTTTCTGGATAATAACGATTCTCCAATTTCTTATTAAAAAAATCTAACAATGTAGATATTTTGACAAGTCTGGACTGGGTATTGTCACTATTACTGTTAAAATGTAAGGTACGCAAAATTAACATAAAGCGATTTTGGTTCATATATTGTCCAAACACTGGAATGCTAAATAAATGATTTTCTTCCAATTATCATTCATATGATTAGTTTTTATGGTTCTCATGTGAAATAACAAATCAAGAAAAATTTTAAACTCCTTTACAGTGATATCCTTCTAAGCTGCAATTCTACTTTTCTCATATTTACTTTGAGAAAGAATATTAACGGCATATAAATTGCTATTTTAAATAATCAGGTCATAGAATAATTCACATGCCAATAAACTAAACTAATCAACAGGATTGCTGCCACCCACATTAATTTTCAATCCTGGTATTGCTGTAAATGGTAGCACTGTAGGATGTTGAACGTCTGAAGACCATTCAATAATATTTTGAGACTCATCATCACCATCATCATCTTCAGATTCTTCTTGTAAATTAGGATCGTCTGTTCGATCATCTTCGACACAATATAAATCTTCATCACTTGCGTCACTGTCGTCATGTGAATCTTCTATGTCTAATAATTCATCATCTGAGATTGGCTGAGAAGTTTCCCACCTACCTCGTTTAGAAGTTGAAGGTTGACAATATTCATCACTCATTTTAAAAATAATTTAAAATTGAAGTATTTAGCAAAACACCTGCAATGGCTCACAGTAAAACCAGAAGACATCAAACACTGAAGGCGTAGAAAATATTACTGAATGTGGTGAATGCTTAGCAAAATAAACCGATGGGGTTGGATTATGATAATATAACAAATTATTGAAAATGCAATATAATCTAAATGCATCTGGTGATTTTTTCAAAGCTTACCGACGCTTTTACTTTTATTACTTTACAAACTTTTATTACAGCCAATTCTGTCGTTTCCGAGCACGTCTAGCTTGAATATTTGAAAAGTAAGCAATGAAATTGAGGATTTCATATTTTATCATCCAATTTATCAATGGGACAGAAGATATTTGTTATTATTTGTGAAAAATCCGCCAAGATAACATTCATACATACTCAGAATAAAGTTTATCATCAAAATTCCAAAACTTCACTGAAAACCAAACCGAAACTTCAGTATATGCCAGTGTTTCCAAGCGGCCAGTAGATATTTGTTGTAATTCGTGAAAAATCCGCTGAGTCATATAGTCAGAGACCGCGCGACTTGCGTTGGTGTCCTCTAAGCTATATTCACTGAACACGACAGTCGCATAGTTGGACTTGAACGTGTTCAAGTGTTTTACATTTAGAGTTCTCTTACATTACATCTATCACATACTGGTTGATTCTTTTCATCAGATAAAAATGTATGCATTATACGTGTATGACTTAAACGTAATAGATCAATTCTAACCTGATTGACCCTGCTTGTGTTTTGTTTCCTCCACGTTTTTATAGACGGTTTAATTTTTTTTAATTTCGATTGGGAATTATCCCATTCACTTTGCCACTCACTGGATTTTGGATTTAATCACTGTCATCACTAGCAACCACTTCACTCACTATTGTTGAATTTTCGTTGTTTGTTGCATCTCTAGCTCAGGAATCTGCTTCTTCGTTTCCTCGAATACCGACATGCAATGGGACCCAAAGTATTACGATGTCGGTATTTTTTTTTGGTGTAAAATATCTAATTTAGTTTTCGCAAGAAAACCTATTGGATGTTTTGGATACAGCTGCTGTATTCTCAGAATACAGCAGCAATAAAGAGTCAGTGATAACTACTGCCTTACTATAGTTGTTCTTATAATTATTACCGCTTGTAGCGCATAAATCTCAGCCGTGTGGATAGTATTGGATGTTGTTCATCATTATGCTCATAATTTGAATTTGTGGTGTTGTTTAGAATCTATAACAGCCGCTCCTAAGCTGTCTGAATTTTGGATGCGTCGCGCGTCGGTATATAAGAAGGAATCTTTATAATTTGATTTATTAAAAGGAAAGACTGAAGCATATTGGTATGATTTGTTTCACCTTTATTGAAAACGTTGACTGAGATTAATGTAAGGAAGAAATATTGTCCAGGGAGGAGGTGTCTTAATATGTAACCTAACAAATGTAGGTACTGTCGACTTCTTTCATAAAAGAGAATATTTTTACTGTTATCTATCAGGAGTTCGGCGAAATGATTAGTTGCAGTGTTTTATATGACAGCATTATTTGAATTCCAGAGAACTCTTGTAGCATAAGATAGACTAAGATACATTCTTCTTAAATGGAGCAGTAAAATTTTAGTATATTTTGAAGTACAAAAAGATTAGTAATTTATGATATTGTTTTTTACTTATAATAATCTTTATATTGGACCAGGTGTTTTATCGCGTACACAGACTAGAGGATGCTGACCTTATTAAATTATTTTATTTTTTAATAGGTTTAAACATAAAAATTGATTTTGTTTGGATAAGAATATAATGTGATTGTAGGATTACTTCGTGTATCAGGAGAAACGATGTAGACAAATATTTTTTTAATATTATTATTTTGTTTCATCATTAACTACAAAAAATTCCGCGCAAAGGTTATGATTTAATAAAACATTCATTCATCTTGTATGCAGCAGTTTTAATGATAGATTGTTGGATGGTTTCAACGTCGACAGGAATATAAGGCACTCGATCTGCTGCTGTCATGTCGGGGAAAGGGGTCAAATCGCGTTTGTTTCCTTATACGCTCTGCAGAGGGCTCTGACCGTTGCAGGTGAAGTATCCTCTGCTAATTCCATTTTTGTTATGGACCGTTGAAGTATTTGGTGTAGCTAGTCTTAATAAAAAGTTTTGAGAGAACTGTTGTTGAGTTTAAAAAAAGGTTAAGTTAAGAAGAAATTATTGTAAGTTCAATATTTGTGCTTTTGATTCGAGTAAGACCAGATTTTTAATTCACAAAATAAATAGAAAGAGATTGGAACTACCCTATTTCCATCCAGAACCGATGATGAGTCCGACCGTGCAATCCCAACCCAGTGGTGCTAAGCTCAATTTTACACTAACAAAATAAAAAATGTCTACAAGCGAAATATTAGTTTGCAAAAAAATTGTACTTGAGTTTTATTTATATAAAAAAGGGTTGTTTTGCACTTACTACATAAAGGGTGGTTGTTTTAATCTCAACATTGTATAATGCATAAATATGGACAACTGGTACGAGTGTATACAGTACTTTATTTATTGATTCAGCTAGACGAGAATGTTTTTTATCCCAACCAGCTCCGTCTAAAAATAGTCCATACACGTAGACACCTTCCTAAAAAGTAAAGTTTTTTAACATTATAATATTGGCATAAAGTCTTTAGTTGCTGCCTATCTTTATTAATTCCTTATTAATAATAATAATTAATATTTTAATGAACATAAGACAATGGACAAGAAGGACACAAGAGAGATCTGAATGGAAGGTCATAGCCAGACAGGCAAAGACCCATCCAGGGTTATGATGCCAAAAGAAGAAGAAAATTAATATTTTATTTACAAGGCATTGAAGGCGTAGGACTAAAATACAATTAACCTAATACGTATATTACAAAACTTGTATTAAATGAGGTGGCTTTTTGTCCAATGATGGTCCTTGCCCACTAAATTGGCTAACTATTATTCTCCATTCATCCCTATTTGTTACTTTCTTTTCCCAATTATCATTTCCCTCTTTTTTGAGATCTTCCTGTACGCTATCAAACCATCTTTGTCTGGATCGTCCTTTCCTTCTGTTCGTGATTGGCCTCTGTTTAAGAATGATCTTTGACATCCTCTTAGTTTTCATTCTCTTCACGTGTCCCATCAATCTCACTCTATGTGCTTTCATGAAACGACTGATGCTTGGTTCGTTATACAGTTTCTCTAGCTCACTGCTTGTTCATCGCCTCAAACTTCCACATATATAGCTTTGAGCATTTTCCTTTTCCATTTTTCCAATTTCTCTATTGTTTTTTTCATTGTCCATACTTCATGAAAATATAACACTGTGACCCTTATTACTGTTATTGTGGGCCACTGTGGGCCTTATTACTGTACTTTGTTTTTCTTGATAAATATTTGGATTAGAGTATTGATCTTAGGCTTTTCATCGTTTTTTGCTTTTTGCCAATGCTAAACCAATCCTAAACTTGCTCTTCTATAATAATTACCAAATAAGTAAAATGGATCACTCTTAAATTTATATTCCCTCGAATCATTAGATATGAAAGTATCCTTCTTCTACATCTCTTTTTTTTGCTCTGTATTTTCGAGTATAATTTTCTTTGACTTTTCCTGGTTTAGATCAAGACAAAATATTTTGCCTCTGTTTTTAGTCTGTTTATACCATTTTGTAATTCTTTTCTTAGTTTCGTTAGATTACTAACATCATCAGCAAAGGAAAGGAATTAATCTTCAATATTAAATATCTATCGCCCTTTTTGTATATGGGGCATAATAAAGCTTTGGTCCAATCTTTGGGCACATGTTCCTCTTTCGCTTCATTCTTTAGCATTTCCACAGCTATTTTTTTTTGTACAGGTCTGGAGCCCATTGACTATATTTTTAATCTCTACTTTACTAGGCAGTCCTGTTATTATACCATCATCCTGAATAAGAAAATTTTCCTTCTCATTTGCATTTTGCTCATTCAATAGTTCATCAAAATAAACTCTCCCATATACCCATCACTGATTCTTTTTCAGTCGCGAGCGTTTCATCTTATTTTTCATGTATGAATTGTAATTCTGGTATCCTCTTTCAGTTTCTTTCACCTTTTCGATAATATTATACACTTCCCATCTTAACTAATTCATATGTGATAATTATAAATTAAACAATACCACATATATACATTCCAACAATTAATTGAAAAAAAAAAAATGGCAAAAAATAGACCAGTATACATGGCATTCATAGATTTAGAAAAAGCATATGACACTGTTCCCAGAAAACAACTATGGAACACGATGAATGAAATCGGAATAACTCAGACGTTAATAGAAGCCGTAAAAAACCTTTACAAGAACAACAAGGTAAGAGTTAAAACCGGCAATAAATACACCAACGAATTTAAGACCACAAAAATCTTATTGCAGGGATGTTCTACATCTCTGACACTGTTCAAGATATTCCTCGAACAAATATTAAAACCATGGAAAAGGAAATGTGAAGGGATGAGAATACCAATCCGGGACAACTTCTTGTACACATTAAGCTTTGCTGATGACCAAGTGGTTACGGCTCAAGATGAAGAAGATCTGTACTATATGCTCCGAAAATTAGAAAAGAAATACACAAAAAATGAAATGGAAATCAACGTAGAAAAGACCGAATATTTACCAACGGAGCAGGAACCAGTGAGAAACTTAGAAATGGGCGATGATAGGGAACTTAACGGCACTGAAAAATTCAAATATTTAGGATTCATTCAATATTTTTTGGCTTATTCGCATAGAACTGTTAAAAAGCCCGACAATAAAGTGTCTAACAGTAAGCTATTAACAGTAAACTCAAAAGTTAATTACGATCTCAGACGGTCAGAGAATGTGACAGTTTCACTGGCGAATACATGGAGGGGGAGATTTGTAAATTTTCCCCTATCAAAGTCCAATATTAAAGAAAAAAGTTGATGAAACAGAAGAATATACTAGCAGACATAAAACACTTAAACCACAGACACACAACTTCAACTCAACAAACTCACTAATTAGGAAAATTAATGCATATTAAGTTATTATTTATATCTTTTATGTAGTATGGATTTAACTTTTTTATGTCTTTTGGTTGGTGATTCATTAAGAGTTTCCCCACCCAAGGCAAATATCTAGATCCTCCTCTGATGAGTATGAGCTCAAACATTCGAACAAAAAAGAAATATGCAACATATAAATATAACCACACTTAAAACCAATGGGTTCGGTAAATCTTTATTGCCCATTAATGCAAGTAAAAAAAGATGTTTGCTTACCACTGGTCCTTGTAATATTTCCTCTCGATTTAATTTGGTAACTTCATTAAATAACTTAACATTGTCTAAAGCCCATCCTTTATGAGCCCTTGCTACTTCCTGTTTCATTGCGGTTAGAAATCCTAAAAAATATGAATTTTTGAATAGTACTATATCACTGTTTATACAAAAATTCGGTTATTATATTACTCACCTTGAGGATTAAAGAAGCCGGCCATCCAAAAACATGCTGGTCTGCCAGTAAAGCACCATGTCCTGAATTGGTTATCTCGTTCTATTAGTTCAGTAAACCAAAAACCTAAGGTACTGGCTATCCACGATGGTCTTAGCCAAATAGAAGGAACTTTGGCATCGTAAATCATGTCTAGTGCATCTCCAAGAGCCTAAATTTAAAAAAAATACTAGATAGATTGCAAAAGCAACAAAATAACAATTTATAATTATATATAGTTTTAAATCAAATTAATAGAAATGTAAATTATGGGATAATTTATTTATTATTAACAAAAGACGATCCTAATCTATATAAGTTTAAAAAACTTTTCCGCATTTGAATGTGACGAAACATTTTATGACATATCTGGCCCTTGTTATAAAATATTGGCCTTATTAAATATTAATGTCACATGCTAAATAATAAGTATTTACAGACACACTGAAAGCATCTAGATTCTTTATAGATAGAATCTAAAGAAGGTCACTCATCGAATGATTCGCCGAACAAAACCCTAATAATCCGTTTAAAGTTCAAAATATTTCGTTAAACCATCCTATCTCTTTAAGAGTTAAACTCATCTCTTCTTATCATCATCATCATCATCAGTGGCAATACAGCTCGTCATGAGCCAAAGACTTCTTCAGAACAATATTCCATTCGCCCCTGTCTCTGGCAACTCTTCTCCATGCTTTAGCTCCGATGGATTTTAGATCATCCTCTATGTTATCTCGATATTTAAGTTTCGGTCTTCCCCTGGATCGTCTTCCCACTGGTCCTCTTCGGTCGAAAATTTTTCTGATCGTTGCATCTTCATCTCGCCTAATTACATGTCCTATCCGTCGGAAGCGTGCTAATTTAATAAATTTTATAACGTCAGGTTGTAAATCATCCTCATTTCTTTTTAACTTAAAGAATTCTCGTCCTGGACCTGGTGATATTCCTTCAGCATTTCTAAAACATCTGCCTATGTCAGCTATACCTAACGTATCTCTTACACATATTTAACAAAATTTGGCTTTACCGCCAGTGGCCAGCTATTTAATTAAAGGCAATAATCATTCCTCTTCTAAAAACTAACAAACCTAAATATGACCCAGAATCATACCGACCCATATCTCTGACATCGACTGCATGCAAGAAAATATTGTTAACTCCAGACTAGTATGGGTTTTAGAACATTCCAATTCTAATCTCTGAGAGAAATGTCGTTAAAAAATATCAGTCAACCACAAACATTTATTTTTCTTCTTCTTCTTCTTCTTCTTCTTCTTCTTCTTCTTCTTCCTCCTTATAAGCAATTATGCTTGTTCATTAATACCTCTATTGAAGGTTGTCACTCCATCTTTTGTGCGGACGTCCGATATTTCTTCTGCCGATTGGTGACTTATCTCTTGCTATTTTGACGACAATGGTCTCATCCATTCTGCTTATGTGGTTATTTCATTCTTTTTTTATTTTGTGTCCTTATTCTTCTTCAGTGTCTTATCCGGTCAGGATGTTGGCGATCATCAAGGCTATCATGGTTTTGTTGACTGCTCAGAGAAACATCCGCGTAGGTCATCCCAAACCATTGTCGGTTTTTTAACCACGAGATACGACCACCCTGCATAAGGAGTTAAAGAATTTGATATTTTTCTTCGTTCCTCATCACGTGCCCTAGGTACTCAAGCTTACGTTGTTTCACTAAATTAAGCACTTCTTTTTTTTCTCATGCGCTGTAGGAACTCAATATTGGTGACATGGTCCACATACGTACCTTGCTGTGGCTTGCGTCAGTGTCCAGGCTTCAACTCCATATAGTAACACTGGAAGAATGTAGCATCTCACTATCCCCATCTTGGTTTCCAAACTGAGATCAATGTAGCACAGCAAGGATCTCTTGATCACCTTGATAAATGTAGACCGTGCCATTTCAATTCTGGATCTAATCTCTTGAGCGTAATCCCATTGTGAGTTGAGGGTAGTTCCGAGGTAAGTAAATCTGTCGACTCTCTGGATCTCTTCGCTACCTGATATTAGTGCCCCGGGATCTAAATGTGCACGGCTGACAACCATTTTGTGTCCATTGATTTATATACTGTACGTTACATTTTTTTCTAATGTATTCACTTCTCTTCCGATCTCTCAACGTAGGTATTTCCTGTAATTCTTCTCAGTACTCTTATCTCTGCCGTTTCCAGCAGCCTTTGCATTGTAGCTATATCGGGTCTTATTTCTGACGCATGTTATTATTGGTCTTACACTGGCTTTATAAATTCTTGTCTTCATTTCAGTGTTAATGTGTCTGCTTCACCAAATAGTGTTATTAAGGCATCCTGCCAGTCTATTTGTACAGACGAAATTTAAACTTGGAAAGTAAGATGCTTGTAGCTCTTGCCACAAATCAAAAATGCGCTGCTATATTATGTTTGTATTTCAAACATGAATTTAATAAAGCTTGGAAGCACAACATCTTGAGACAACTTCATAAATGAAATATTCAAGGTCACTGCCTTGTCTTCATTCAACACTTTTTAAACACCAGATCTTTTTCAGTGAAAATAAATAATAATTTTTCAAATATGTATAGTTTGAACTGAGACATATAATAAATGAAAGCCTTTTGAATAAAGTGTGGGTGGAAAGATATACTGAAGAAATAGACAATGTAAGTATGTGAAGATCCTAATATTCTAAGAGCATAAAGGCTTCGTTGTTTTGATGATAGCGGGATAAAGCCAACCAAAAGATTACAACAGAAAATATACATATTAAATTGAAAAAAAAATAAATTAAGTAAAACCATGTCTGTGTTGTATGGATAAATTTTTTTAAAAGAATGTGTTTACCTCGCTCATAATAATTGTGCCTTCTATGGCTAATAGTAGATCTCTTAATGTAGATCTTACAATCGTAATTACTTTCTGCATTCTGTCAATTTCTTGTCTTAGAAATATATTCAACGGGTTCAACTGACCCATAATTTTTAATCTAAAAAATCATAGTTATTATTACTTATATTTTAGAATATATATTGTTCTGAAGCTATTTTCTTGTGGCGTTTTAAATAAGATACTATTTTACTGTGAATAAGTCTATTTTATTAAGGCTTTTCTTTCTGTTTCTGGTTAGGTCCCATTGGCTTCCCGATTTATAAACACATAACAATAAAGAAGAATATAATGTTTGAATAAATATATAATGTTAGCTGTAAAATGTATATATATTTTTTAATTTTTAAAAGTAATTTGTGATAAAAGTAAATGTGAGTCAAATATTGATAGATCGCAGTTTGGTTTTCGGAAAGCACTTGGAACTAGAGAAGCAATTTTCGCTCTCGAGGTGCTTATACAACGGTGTAGAGACGTTGATAAAGACGTGTATCTGTGCTTTGTAGATTTTAGAAAAGCATTTGACAATGTCAATCATGAACAATTGATAGGTATTCTGCGAAAGACAGGTATTGACGACAAGGACATTCGAATTGTGGCAAACCTATACTGGGGTCAAACAGCAAGAGCAAAAATTGGCAACGAACTCACTGAAAGCGTGCAGATCAAAAGGGTGTCCGTCAGGGGTGTATATTATCCCCACTCCTATTCAATATGTATTCCGAGGAAATATTTAACAAGTGTATGGAAAATGCAAATGAGGGCATTAAAATAAACGGCGAGTTAACGAACAATATAAGATACGCCGACACGGTGATCCTTGCCAGTACCATAGACGAATTACAACAAGTAATGGAAAGACTTTATTCAGTTAGTGAGGAATACGGCCTGAGCCTCAACTTCAAGAAGATAAAGTGGATGCTGATAAGCAAAAAGCAACAACCTGCTCGACAATTACGGATAAGTAACATATTAATTGACCATGTAGAATCTTATGTGTACCTTGGCACCAACGTAAATACAAAATGGGAACAGACCATAGAAATTAAGGCGAGAATAGAACGAGCTAGAGCAGCATTTAGCAATATGAAACAGCTCCTCATAAGCAAGGATTTGTCTCTTCCCCTAAAACTACGTATAGTTAAATGCTACATTTTTCCGATCTTGCTGTATGGCGTGGAAGCCTGGACGCTGACGGAGACGCTAACGAGAAAACTAGAAGCATTCGAAATGTGGGTGTACCGACGCATTCTTCGTATATCCTGGACCGAACATGTCACCAACATAGAGGTACTCCAAAGAATCGGAAAGGAGAAAGAAATCGTGAATACAATTAAACAAAGAAAGCTTGAATATCTAGGCCACATATTGAGACACGATAAGTACCGTCTGCTACAATTGATTGTCCAGGGAAAAATAGACAGTAAGCGAGGGCCAGGCAGGAGAAGACACTCGTGGCTCCAAAATCTGCGGAAGTGGTTCGGGCTCACATCGGTCGAACTATTCAGAAGCGCCGCAAACAAGATCAAAATTGCCATGTTAATAGCCAACGTTCGCAACGGACAGGGCACTTGAAGAAGAAGAAGAAAAGTAATTTAACTGCACAAGCGTGAAACTTACTACAGAGATATTTCGACTGAAAAAAGAACAATATTTACCTGTCTTTAACTTCGAATGGATCGTAGTTGTTCGGTAATTTCACCAGCATTTCTTTTGCCATTCTTTGCACAACTGATTCACGGGACTCGCCACCAGTTCCTCCTGATTCTTTCGGTTGTATCGCTAACATATAGTCAAACATTGCTATTGTCGTATTGGTTTGGTATCTAAAATAAACATAACAAAATTGTAATACAATGCAATGTAGTCATTATTAAAGGAACTACATAATATAGGTAGTATAGTTTTTTCCTTCCTTTATTTAAGATACCAAGTTTAAAAATTATACTTGTTAAAGCAGCTAGATTTTGCTAATTGTTCACAATAAAATCACCCTATGTGTCACTAATATACAAGAAAAAATTACAACTATTAATATTAAGCAAATGAATGTGGTTTTAAATGGTTTGAATTAGAATACATCTGACGATTATTAGCGCGTAGGCGCAAGATACAAAAATAAAGTTCATGGTACTTAATGGATTAAAATAAACAAAAAATTCTTACGTAATATCTGCATTAGAATGCAGTCCGTATGCCTGCGGTGGATCCGTGGGGGCAAATCCGTCTATATGAGCAACATAGTCTGTCACTGCTTTGTATTTGACGATTTTGTATCCTTTGTAGAACATAAAGTCTTCTACAAATATTAACTCGCTAAACCATACTTTACAAAATGTATTTAAGAGACGTTTGTCGAAATCGTCTGTCACTCTGCCTCCATAGTGGACTTCACCCAACATGTACCTGAAAGGTTAAAAAGCAAAAATTATACTTATGTTTTAATATACACATCAATTAGCACAATAAATGATAAAAATAATATAAAAATTAATAGGTTTAAGTAATAAATTTCGAATACTCAATTTCTTTAATCATCTGTAGTTATTATATAGTAGTCAAAATCGAATTATCTTTGAAGTAATGTGAAAATATATTAATATATACAGATTGAATATGAAGGAGAAGATACACGGACTGTAGTTTGTCGTGTTTAATAAGTCTCTGTTTAATAAGTCTGCCATCTAGACCTGTCCCGTAATGATCAGTTCCAGAGTCTAAAAAAACTACTCGATACTAGGGATGTGTAGTTCACCATCAAAATAGTTCAAGTGAACGATTTTTTCAACTGAACTAATTGAACTAGTTCATCAGTTTTTATAGAACTAGTTCACTGCGAAAGATTTGCATTATAAATTGTGTCTTAACTTCTAAAGAAAAAAATAATGAATGAATGAGATCATATATTTCGAATGGAACGGGTCGAATTACATAGTTCCTGCTAGTAACAAGAGGAGTAGGAGCAGGCTTTTTCTTAAGAATTATAACTGCTTTCTCTTCATCTTCCTCTGCTGGTCCTACTAGCGAAACTAATTTTGACGTTGAAGGTTGAGGTTCTTAAAATGTATTTTCTAATTTTTCGGATCCTTTTTCTATGTATCTTTCAACATTGAGATATCTAAGATTGATAGCATAGTGTTTCATTTTTAAATGTCTTGATCAATTGTCAAGTGAACTACTTGCAATACTAATATCACATAAACAGTAATTATATTTTGCAAATTTTTTAGTTTTATCGTTTTTCTCGAAATGATCCCATACAAAACTTCCATTTCGTCTGTTACTCATCTTTTGGGATTGAGTAAAAACATAAATTATTATAAAGAAAAAGTAACTAATCATATAATAATTTAAAATATTTAAACCTAAACATAGGATTAAAAGAAATGGTTCCGAGTCCGAACTACTTGTACGCCTACGGTAGTGATAGACTTACTGAAAACCGAAGAAAACGGGCGGCCGGCGCCGAGTTTGCGTAATGATTGAGACGAAACATCTGGCAACCAGTTAGGTTAGGGTTGAATTTCGCTTTCGGTCCTACAAATAGTTCTTTCGCGAACTAGTTCACTGAGCTAGTTCATTTTTGTGAAATAGGTTTCTTGAACAAGTTCGTCTAAAATAACTAATAAGCACACCTCTATTCGATACACACATTAGGAATTATGTATTGGTTAAAAGTCCCATGCATCAGAGACAGTATGTGTATCGAGAAGGATTGTCTAATTAAACGGTACTGAACCATCTTGTACAGAGGTGCATTTCTTGATATAGAGGAATCATTCGAGAACACCTACTAATACTGTTATGCCCCCAGGAGAGTCGTATCTTCTCTTTGTGGTATCTAATCATTAGTGGGTTGGCAGCTGAACTTAAAAACTACCGACATCATGTCCTAGACTATGAGAACCTCGTCATCTTAGCAAAATTTGATTACAAGTTAGACACAATAGGCTCCGATTATACTTACTCAATAAACTTTAAATGTAGTGTCGCCAGAAGTGACCAATCACGACGCAGATTGTAACTGTGGCCGGTCAATCACAAACAGTTTTATTAACTGCGTTGTCATTGTGTATAAAAAGGCAGCTACTAGCCCCGCTAGACCTTTTTGACCGAGAGCCATTTGCAAATTCAATGTTTATTATTATTACTTAAGAGTGAACCTTTGTGAAGACTTCGTTTTTGAAGAGTAGTGCAAATACTTTCAAAGTGAATACGAACGAAGTCTATTTGACTACGAAGTATTTACAAGAAGGTGTAAGAACCTGAGTAGCGACTGATGGTCATTATTTCGTTCAGGTGAAGAAAAGTTTAATAGTAAACTTGTCAACTTACGAAAGAAACTGTTGACTTGGAGTGAACATTCCCTTCGTTAACGAACCTCGATCTTTGAGATAGGAAAGACAATTTGTCTTATACCTATGTCAGATAGTGCCGAACTAGCTCAGTGCTCTACTGGACCACCGACGGTTAGGAGTGAATAAAAGACCCAAGGGGACTTAGAATCGCTCCTAACTCGGTGGCCGAGTCGAAGTCGCGCTTCGACGTTAGAAACCTTCAACGGAAATAATCAACGTCTTTACAGGACATAAGATTGTTTTCCGCGGGAGGTAACATGTGAGGCGTAGAACCTACGCCAGAGTCGCCACTCAGACGATGTTTTTACACACCTTATGGGTTGTGTGCTCGACCGGCTGGTATCTCTGTAAAATCTATTTGGGGGCTGGCATATCTGGTAAAGTATTCTAAATTATCGGTGGGCCTTCGAGAACTACAGAGCTACCGGTGAACTTCACGTGGACTGTGGTTCGGGTACCTCTGTGGATGCTACGGCCATAAGGGACTTAATATAAGACTTCAGTATGATCCGAATAAAAAAATTAATCCGAATTAACGGCTTCCAAAAAAAAGAGCTGACAGGGGAAAATCAAAGACGACTATCTACACGGTATAGGGACGATTCTATAATATTAGTAAAAAAAATCATAAATATAAAAATAAAATAACAAAATATTCAAAATAAGATCCTTATTGTGGTGTATTTCGACCAGTATCGAAATATGTACGTTGATTAATATTAAGTGAAGAAG